GCACTAGAGACACCCCCGTGGCCGAAACGGCATGGGGAGACGGGGAGAGAAATGCAGAGACTCGAGACCCTCGCCCCGGGAGAGTGACAGGGAGCAGAGAGGAGAGAGGAAGGGAAAAGGGGCGCAGGGAGGCTCGCACGAAGCCAGGAGGGAGGTGTCTCCAGGGATCAGAATGAGAGATGGACCCCTCTATCAGCCCCAACGCCAGGGTATCATTTCTAGGATCCAGAACCTGGATGTGAACTGGCCTCAGAGGGGAAGGGATTTCTATGCCTTTAGCTCTAAAGGAACACGTAAAACTCCGCAAAGCCCACCTGGGATTCCAGGCTGGAGCAGAGTTTAGGGAGGCAAGTAGCCTGGCTCTTAAAGCAGGAGACCCCTTCGTTTTCCAAACCGGGGGTAAAGACGTGGTGAACAGGCCCAGCGGAGGCTGGGGAGGCTGGGGTTGTGGCTTCTGCCTGGTGGCCGCCAGGGATCCACAGTGCAGATCCAACAGGGAACGGGAGATGGCCAGTTGTTGCTGTGATGCCTGAGTGGTAGCCAGGTGGGAGGCCCCAGAGGAGAGCAGGGCTGGGCCAGGTCCCTGGACCCAACAGATGTCTGACCAGCCTTTGTCAGCTCCCTACATCCCCAAAGCCGGCTGCCTGGCTCCCTGCTTGCTGCTGGAAAGGACTAGGAGTATCTGCTCCCAAATGACTTTCCAACCCCTACCAGCCCTTCCCCCAAGAAGAACCCCTCTGCTTCCTTCTGAAGAACTGAGAAGGGCTGAAGCCCTGTTACAATCTGCAGCCAGGCACTCCACCTACCCTGTCCCACCCCCGCCTTATAGGGAAAGGCTCCATCAGATAATTCCACTCTTGGGCTAGCCATGGTCCTGACTCCAGAGTCCCATTAGCCCCTCTATGGTAATGGGGCACTCATGGGGCTCAAAGGGTCCTCAGGGAGCATTTAGCCCAGCACCCACTCTGGGGCTTTGTCTCCATCTACAGGATCCCTGTCAAGTGGCCCTTCACGTCCTGGTTAATGACATCCAGGGATGGTGAACTCAGAACCTCAAGCAAGAGTTCTTCTATCTTTGGACAGTGCTGACCATGAGAATGTTTCCCCTCGTTTGAGCTGAAATCTGCACCTTGTATGACCCTCCTGTGGGTCCTTCTGTTGCATAACTCAACAAAACCAAGGGCCCTCTGTCCAAACCCCATAGTGTGGCTTCACCGAGGGGGACCAACCATCCTGGTTTGCCAGAGACTGTCCCAATTTTAGCACTGAAAATCCCACATTCCAGGAAACCCCTCAGTTCCCGGCATTCCAGACCCCAGAACTAGACAACAGTGCTGACCAGTGGACAGAATGTCAGAAGCTCTGAGGTTGAAGCCAGAGCTCTTGGCCAGCGTGTGCCATCTGTTACCAGCTGGGAGCACGCGGGTGGGTGCCTACAGCCCTTCCCCACGACTAGGGTGTGGCGGGGTGGGGATAGCCGTGCGTGGACCGTGGTGTGCTCGCAGCTTCACACAAATCACGTCATTTAACCCTCAGGCATTCTCTCCACAACACCCTTATGTGCCTGGTACCATCCTAGGTTCACACAAAATGAAAGGGAGTCCGAGAAAGTTCGGTGCCCATGGTCATGCAGGATTAGTTTACAGCCTGCTTTCTGTTCCTCGTGCCTGGCTGCTCCCCACAGGTGGGCACAGTCAGAGGCCTGACCACCTGGATAATGTCCAGGTTTGGCCACCTGGTCCGTGGGTGTGAGTTGTCACAGAGGAGTAATAAATTTGCCTCATGGGGGACACGCCTGGGCCTGAGCACCTCCGTGGGCCCTTGGCTCACAGAGGCCACAGTGAACACAGTCTGGTAGGGGCCCACTTCCAGGCAGCACCTTGTGTGTGTGTGTGTGTGTGTGTGTGTGTGTGTGTGTGTATTCATGAGCAAGTGAATGCAGAGACAAACATATCCTGCTCGGGGAAGATGCTCCCTGAGGTGGGGGCTGAGACCCCTCCCACCACTCCAGCCAGTCACCCCAAACCCTTGGGTAGGGGTGGGTGGAGCAGGTGAGGGGTTGTTGCTGAGTTGATGAGAATTGCAGGCGTCATCTAGCCAGTCCCCACTCCATGCCCCCATCTCTCAGAAGGGAAGACAGTGGGCCAGAGATGGAGGGGACTTGCCTGCTTCCAGTCTCCATCCATGGCTTCTCCCCTTTAAATCTTCCCCACAGCCCCAGCCCTTGCCCAAAAATCAGTGCTGCAGTGTGGAGCTGAAGTCCGACAGGGAGTGCAGAGCTGTTGGCCCCTCAGGGCAGCTCCTGAATGCACTGGCTGGGACCAGCTGCCTAGGAAGTCCTGGCCCTGCCTTCAGACAGAGCCAACACATCAGGCAGAACTCAAGGCCATGAGATTAACTGGGGGAGTTAACTTCCTGCATCAGAAGAATCGTCCTTAATCGAAGAAAGGAATAACTAGCAATTTAGAGACACTGACCTCGGCTGCCTGCAGGAGAGAGAAGCCTGTGTCGGCCTCCCAGCTCTGTGACAAGAGATGGTGTCAGGGTTCCAGATAGGATCCTCTCTCTGGGACTTGCTGTCCAGGCCCTTTCCTCTGCCCACGATCTGCTCTGCAGCCCAGCCAAGGACTCCAGCCCAGAGACCGGAAAAAGAATGCAGAGGCCAGTCCGCCTGTTTCCCAGGAGAATGTGTGCACAGATGTGGGTGGACATGCTGTCCAGGCATGTGGGAGCTGGCTGGGACGGCCCCTCAACACAACAGACCCACCGAGGCCGGGCTATCGATCCTGGGCAGGTGGAGGTAAGTGATGGTCATCGGGAAACAAGGTGGCCCCAGGGCAAGGCAGCCACGCCAGGTTCCACTTATTTCCTCTTTGGACACACGGTGGAGTTCAATGTTGCTGTGCCTGCTGGGCCTGGTACAGCCCCTGCCCAACTCTCTGATGGTGACCTGTGCACAGCACAGGAGTCAGGAGCAGGACGATGAGCTGGTTAAGTGACTTACCTCTGTCCCCTGCTGATGGACACCAGTGAGAGGGGGCCTGGGGAAGGACTCGGGCCAGCCCTGCGGCAAAGGTGCCCACAACAGCGAATCCTGCCATCTCTGCCGATGCCACGTAGTTCTTCCCTCCCCACAGTGTCTCCTGGCCTGGCTCTACCCTGCTTGGCCACTTCCTCACGGATTCCCACACTTCAAAGAACCTCAGTGGTTGGCCACTGCCCTGAGGACCACCTCCAATCACCAAAGCAGCCCCAGGAACAGATGTTCTTCCTTGGAGCCTTCCAGAATAGCTGGGAGCCACCATCCAGGACACTGGGTAGGATGTGCCCTTCCGTCCCGCCCTCCTGTGCTCCTCTTCCTTGCTGGGAGCTGTGACTTAACTGGTCTGTGCTTCTACCTTCAACCTCAATAAAGGTTAGGACCCTGCCTTTTCCCCTTCCTGCTGACAAGGACTCATTCTCAGCAGTTATATCGAAAACCAGAACCTCACTTCACAGCAGATGCTACAAGGGAGCACTGGATCACCAAGACTCCCATTTGTGATCTCCTGCAGAGACAGGAAGATCCCCTTAAGATCAACAAAAGACCCCTTAGGTGAGCCCTAGACTCAGTGTGTAAGGACCCCCAGCCAGAACAGACCACCCCCTGCAAGCAGACTAAGTTGAATGCTCTACCTTTACAGAGACCGCTGTCCCCCTTCTATGCCCACAAGGGTGGGCTGCAAAATCTAGACAACATGTATGTGCCTGCATCCTCAGTGTTTTCAAAAGACGCTTGGGGGCATCTCACAGAACCTGTTGAATGAGACCTGATCCGACTTTACTTGAATGCTGAGATGAACCAAGGCTCAAGTCTAGATTTCATTTCATCAAATGCTGTTTGGCTGGCTTCTCTGTCTTACCGAGTGGGGTGTGCTGGTTGATGGGATTTTGGAGAGAGAGTCTGGAGAGCCTGAGGGTAGGTTTTTTTCAAGAAGAGAGGTGGTTGGGTGGAGGCAGAGATGTGACCGCTGCTCTAAGGACTGAGCTGATTTAAGAGGCTGTCCAATAGGTTAGCAGCAATTTATCTCCTCCTTCAGCGCTTGCTGTGTTTTGTGTTTGTTTGATGTCAAGACTGTTGAGATTGGCCCCAAGCAAGCCCAGTTGTCTTCAAGTTATATTTAGACCAAATACAAATGAGGAACTGGGTGAAAATCTAAAACTCGCTGCAAGAGTGGTCCTTGGAGTCTGCCCTCCTGCAAACATCCATCGGCCCGGAAACAAACATGTTCAGCTACTCTGATCTCAGCCTTGTTGCTCCCCTGCCCTGCCCGCCCCGCCCCCCCCCCCCCCGCCCGCCAACATGGTTTCTTTATGGCAGATTCCAGAATGCATAGAACCAAACACAGGTGTAGATGATAAAGCACTCAAGAAACAATAGATCAGCCAGTGGTTCCTGATTATTAGCTGGTGGTATTGACAAGGGCAGGAAGTCACAATCAGCTTATGTAAATAGATTATGTAATAGATGGTGGCTTTATCGGCACCTGGTAGACAATCTACACCGATTAGGGCGCTTATGCACCTTGCCTCAGATATGGCTTTCCTCCTGGGCTCCACTACTCTGCATGGTCCTTGTTCTCGAACCCAGCAAGGTCCCAGCTCTGGCCATGCTGGCTGAGTGCCAAGGAAACCCAGGATGGCAGTGTTGGAAGGTCCCCAGGGAATGAATCATCTAGCCCTAAACCATCTTCACTTACTGTGTTCTAACCTGAGTTGCACAAAATAGGATATAAAAGGACTGGTGTTACCAGCTCATGGCCTCTCCTACCAGTCTGGGCAGAGTCCTTTTTTTTTATTTTGGTCTCTTTTGCCCTCATCCCCCAGTCCACTCCTCTCCTCCAAATGCCATGTGTTTTTTCCAATCTAACTTCAAAAGCTCTTTCTCATGTCAGTGTAGCCTAAACATTATATACCTGGATGTATGCATTTAAAACATTACATAATAGGGGGTGAGGAGGGTATAGCTCAGTGGTAGAGTGTATACTTAGCATTCACGTGGTCCTGGGTTCAGTCGCCAGCACCACCAATAAAACAAACAAACAAATAATTACCTCTCCCCTCCAAAAAACATTGCTTCTTACCTTCCCCCTTTGTTTTCAGATCCCTTCACACTGATACTTGCAGATTTGGCTAGATCCTTTTGATTATAATATTTTATAATGTGATAAGACCTCATCTTGTATTTCCTAATCCCCTCTTTTTTGGGAGGGGGGCAGGTAATTAGGTTTATTTAGTAAATGGAGGGCATTTAGTTTTCAGAGCTCCTTGCTGATACAAATGCTGCTGCAACAAACATCCCCCTGCACCTCTCGGGTTCCTGTGTGAGAGATTCTCCGGGGCACATGCTCAGCCTGGAATTGTGGGGCCGTCAGAAACTTGGCAGATTTCCCTAACTACTGCATCAGCAAGCTGCTCTCGAAAGAGCGTGTTCTGCCAATGGCCTCACTGGACGGATGGTAAGACCGAGGCCCAGAGTAGGGACTTGCCCTAGTTTAGGACCTGAGTATTCTGACTTCCAGGACAGGCTCCACCCCTCCACGTCCGGGACTCCTGGCAGTCTCCTACGGAGTCAGCAGGGCAGCGGCAGCCTCGTTGAGCAGGCTGTGATACAAATTTCATCTCTCTCCTCCAGGTCCAAACACAGTGGTACCCAGCACAGAAGTCCCCAGGAGGCAGTGGAGAAGGAGGTGGGAGGTCTGAGCCAGAGTCCGCACTGAAAGGCCCCCTGTTCAACAGGAATAAAGCCTGGCAGCCCTGTGGCCCGTATGTGATAAAAGCTTCCACTGCAGACCCGCCCCACACTGCTCTCTCTGCAGGGGCATCACCCGTACTTGTTGATACAGATCTCAAATTGTACAAGTCTTAGCTCCCTGGAGAGGATCCCACACTGCTCAGAGCTCAGGCAACTGCTGAGTCAAGACAAGAGTCACTATGGGGAGGGAACCCCTAAGAAAGGGCCATTCTGTCCATCCCCCTTCCTCCAGACTTTGCTAAAACCTTCCGACCTCTCTGTAAGGCTAGCTGGAAAGCTCTTCCTCACGTCTGTTCTATTGCACTCCGACTGTAACAACACAGAAACAGCAACAACAATAACATTAATACATCGTTGCTGAGTGACTACTACACGCCTCCTGGAAGTGTTTTAAATGCTTTTCATGAGTTATCTCATCTAATCCTTCTAGCAACGCAATGAGGGAGGTGTTATTATAACCATTCCCATTTCACAGATAAGGAAACTGAGACTCAGAGAGGCTAGGTATCTCCCTTAAGGTCACACAGCTAGTAAGTGGTGGACGACGTATTCCAGCCCAAGCCTTCTGATGTCCATGATCCCACCTCAACCTCTAGAGGGAAGAAGATTAGAAATGAGTAAGATAAAAACAAACCACAGGAAACCAGGAGGCTGAGGCTCTGCCACTAACCCCAGGTGCAGCCTCAAACAGTTTACCGCCCTGCCCTGTCTATGCTAGAATCGCATGTCCCCAGAGCCTTTGCCCCATTTGCCGCTGGGCTATGACCCCGTAGTTTTCCAAAGCCTACGTGCCAGGCACCCTGGCAGGTGGAGAAGCTGAGTCAGCAGGAGCCTCCAGGGCATGGATGCTGCGGCCTTGGCCCCGGGCAAAGGCTTCCTGGGGCAATTAGCACATCCCTCCCCGGAGCCGGAGCCGCCAGCTCCATGTCCCCTGGGGGAACCTCTTGTGGGTGGGAGGGCTGGCGCAATCTATTCCTATTGGAATTTGAACGCTTCTGGTCAGAATGACTAAAAGGCTGAGTTTTACAAGGGTTTTGAAAGTGAATTGACTCCACTTATTAAAGATATACTAGATTACTTGCTGAGGGAAAGGACACTCCGGGGATTCCAGGCAGCACAGCCTTTGTCGAAGACAGAAACCTCCCTTTCTGACCCGGAGCCGATCTCAATAAACCACGGCAGGAGACATTGTACTGGGCAGGTGCCAATTAAATTACCAGCTGAAAGATCACTGTCCATCAAGGAAACATCCTAGCCCAGGAAGGCGGTTGTGAAATCCCCCCTGGTTATTCTATGGAAATCTATTTCTAAAGGCAGGAAGGCAAAGATTACAAGGAAATTACTCACGGAAGCCTTGACGTTCGGTCCTGAAATGAATAAGGGGGAGAGAGAGGTGTGGGGGCTGTTTAGCGCTGCAGAGTGTGGTGGGCAGGACCACTGCCTGGTAGGGGGCACAACACTGCTTTTCGTTTTCAGACTCAGAGTCGTTGAGGAGTGGGTCCTAAGTGGGTAGGGGAGGGAACATCCTGTATGCTGTTGAGGAAGTTGAACAGTTTGAAGGGTATATGGACTCAGGAACTGCTGGAGTTGGAACGTCCACCAGACCCCACTCATCGGATCCAACTCCAACTCAGCGGACCCAGCCCCTCACTACAGATGGGGAAGCTGGGTCCCAGGTACTGGGCGTGAAGGGGCCAAAAATAGGGCATTGGTGGCAGAGGTTCTCCAGGTTCCTAGTTCCAGGCTCTCTCCTCACATCCTCCCGTGGAGGTGAAGGGCGTGAGCACTGGCTTGTGGTCAGGAGCCTCTTCCACTTTCTTTGACGCCCCCCCCACCCTCGTTGCCAGGAGACACAGGGGAGTTGCTGGGGCCCAGGCAGCACCTACTTGCAGAATTGATACAAGGTTCAGACAGTGCATGTGCAACATGGATGCTTCCTATGGTAGCAGGCTCCCCTCAGGCTGTCTTAAGCAAAAAGGAATTTATTGGTAG